AATAACAACCAAAGGTGCCGAAAATACTTCGAATAGAACAAAGTATAATAAACATTCCTAACCTCAAAAATAAATCAAAAACCTAATGTATGTAGAAAGTATTTACATTGTCTCATTAATATATATATATATATATATATATATATATATATGTGTGTGTGTGTGTGTATGTGTCTGTGTGCGTGTATATATATATATATATAAAACTAATGTAAGAATTCTAATTTGTCAATCATGTTAGATGTAGTGAAAACACCCAGAATTTTTTCCACCATTAAAATATTTCATTTTAACTCAATAACGAGTGACGTGCTCTGTTTACAAATTACCCATGTAGAAGCGTTCATTTGTTTTATGATAAAGTTATATGTGCTTCTCTCTCACATGTCAGTAGAAGCATTTAAAAGACATTATTTCTCTACATGTCCATTTTAATATATCAGAAACAGCCACATGTTATATAGGTATATATATATATATATATATATATATATATATACTGGACTCTCCCGTCGCTTTCGACGTATGAGGGTCAAGCAGTTCAGTTCTTAGAACCAACAGCCAGACTACCCGCAAATATCATTTGATTATAGTGGTGAAAGCTTCTGCAGAACCAACCACACCTTTTAGAAGAGCCAAATACAGAGAATTGGTACACAGTATGCCACGACCCTTTACAGGACCCATAGTCTGTACTGTTATTTACCCATAGCTGGGGACCAAGCTAGTTTCAATTCCGAGTTTTCCTTATCTGAGAATGGTTGCCACCCATAGCTATCAGGTCCAGTCTGTCCTGTTATTTACCCATATGTATTTATATTTGTCTGACGATCGCAAACCCAGGGTCACAAACTCACATCAATCCAACTATCACTGATATTGAGCGCTTTCCAATAAGTATCGTGCATATATATATATATATATATATATATATATATATATATATATATATATATATATTCATACATACATTTCATTAAATAATATAGACAAGTGTTTTCTATTTTATGTAGTCTTTTCATAACGTCTGATAAGCTTAATAACATTATCATTAAACAAAGAAAGAAAATCACAATATTGATCCATATTTTTTAATCCAATCTAAGCTTTCGGCTTACATAAGACATTATCAAGGATGTCAATTACTGTACAAAATATTAAGCAATATACGGACAAGGAACTGATGATAGTCTGTGATTGTTTACATAGATGATTTCCTATATAACGATATATATATATATATATATATATATATATATATAAATATATATATAAAATTAAAGGAAAACTTATCTCAGTCGACACGTTTCGTCCTTTGACGAGGCAAATGCGTCAGCTAAGATAAGTTTTCCTTTTTGTCTTTATTCATATTGTCCTTTTACAGATATACTATCTGAAATTTTTACACACATACATTGTGTTTATATATATATATATATATATATATATATATATATATATATATATATATATATATACACAAACACACACTGATGCTTATGTAAGTCTCTATGTAAGAATTATCAGGAAAAAAAAAGATCAGAAAAGCAAGGATGGGAAAAGAATAGAAGGCGTTTGAAGGAAACTTTCAGTTTTACACACCACACAACTGATGCATTGCAGAGCAATTCCAGACCCCACACTCCTTACCAATGCATTAATAGCTTCCCTTCCAGTACCAATTATTGCAACGAACCAGCCAGCCAAACGGCTAACCAAAACCTTCAACCCACTAACCTAGCTTCAGTTTTACTTATTTTAAAACAACACACTGATCTTTTTCATTACGAAATCCTCTTACTTATAATTTTAAAATTAACATTTTTTACTACCAAATATTTCATTTAAAACTTAACATTATTCAGAATATATTTATTTTTTTTATATATGTGCGTTTCGTTCTTTTAAAGATTCTTTATAAAATTCAGAAAAAAATCTTTTTCTGAACTAAATACCTTATTTAATGTGAGATGTGTGTGATCATGTCTCTCCACAACTTCCTAGCTTGTTGCTCTCCCTTCGACTTATTCTTTTATTTATTTACAAAAACCCATTAGTCAGTTTTTTAAAGTTTTTCTCTTCCCATCTTACCTTCAATAATCTATGTGAGTGTCAAATACTCCAAGCCCTCTTTCCTCATTATGTGTCCAAGAATTTCAGCTGTCTTTTTTCGGATTCTAAAGTTTCCTTTTCGTCCTCATTTCTAATCAAATTTTCTTGTTGCTCACATATCTCATTCATCCTTATGTATGCTTTTCTGCTGCCTATAGTTTTTTCATCTGAGAGGAGTTGCCCAGCATTCATCGCTATATAAGTGGATGCATATTATATCACATTTCAGTTATCTTTTCTTTGTTTCTAACGACATTTTCCTGTTTCTTAATACTGTGTTTTATTTCTGGAGTGCATCTTTCTCAATTCTAATGTAGAAAATTAGATATTACGCAGCAGTTCACTTCACTTTTCTTTGTTTCTATCGACATTTTCCTGTTTCTTAATACCTTTCTCAGCTTCTGGAAGGCATCTTTCGCCATTTTAATGTGCCTTCGGATTACGTTGTCGCATTTTCCGTCGTCTGTATAATATTTCAAATATATTTAAATTTAACTTGCAAAAATAGGAAAAACTTGGATTTCTAACTAAATAAAACGTTTCTATGCCCGCAATGCAAAACCAGGGGGAACTGGAGTTGGCACGTGTGTTTCTATTAGAAATCATAACTTGACACTTGTTTACTTTTATAAACGCTGTGAGGTAAGTATTCGTGACTAACAGATCTTTTCATGCATTAAAATCCTTGACATTCATCTCCAGCCTGATCAATTTGGATTCACAATTTTCAATTCGTCTTAATAGCACTTTACGTTGCGAAAAGCAAAGACTAATCTTTTTACACCTTCCAAGTGTAGTAAAATAGATGTTGCATTAAACAGGTAAATATTTTGAAGTTAATTTACATAGAAGACAGGATTGCACGCTTCTAAATAGGACACATATTGGTAATAATGTGAATTCAATTCTTGCATGTTGTTTTAATATATTTCTAAATTTCTGGGTTGATTTGATTCGCGAATCATTTAAAATCGGAAAATATTTCGGATTTTAAAAGATCGTTTAGAATATCCGATGTTCCCAAGCGGTTCCCCCATTTAAATACTGACCCGAGATCAGCACTTCGTTTATCTAGCGACTATATTTGAAGAATATTTAAAATTTTGATATTAGCTTTCTTAAAAAGATCGTTAAGTAAAAATAGTATATCAAATTTCAATTTTCCCACAAATCGATGCGATGAACAAAAAAAAAAAAAATAAATAAAAAATAAATAAACTAACATTGGATATTTTATTCTGTCATTGTCGAAATGCATCCGGTAGAAATTATTGCCTTTTTGGAGAATTCAAATAATTCTTCTGTGAAAGAGAATGCTTTGTTTCTCAATTTTAATGTACGATTTAATATTTGTTTGTCATGTCAGATTCTATTATGAAAGTCAATGTTTTCATAACGAAATTGGTATTAACGAATTAATATTGGTAAGATAATTCAGCAATACATTATTTACATTATTTAGATCCTGTCACTGGATCTAACGAACGCCTTTATCCACTGTGCCATGTGTCCTTGAGAATAAGTTGTTGCAAATTCGGATCAAAATTGTTGATAAACGATCCAAAGTTCATGTATTTAAGTTCTGCTGGAGTACTTTCGATGGTATTAGGGGAAATATATATAGATGATCCATTCCATCCTGCCTTCTTCCGATGACACTCCAGTCGTTATTTCCCTTTCTTTAAATTCGCAATTAATGTATCATAATTATTCCTGTTTTGTTGGCAAACTGACTTCAGTTGTGACGAAGCCCATGCAATTTCCTCATTGCGTTTTGTTCGTGAAACGCGTGTATTTTTCATTAAATTTAGCTTCGTGCCATTGTTGCTAATGATCGGCTTGAGCATTGCTTATGACGTGATGTCATCGCCAACACTAATTTGTTTAAAATTTTATACTCAGATTATATTTTTGAAAAGTCGGATATTGTCACCAATAACGCATTTGTTGAGAAATATCCCTTGTATTCTTCAAATTCTTATTAAAAGTATAGCGAGATTTCGAAAATCTTTGATTGTTTGGCAGAATTCTTGTCCCCTATTGAAGAAATTAATCGAAGTATTTCTTTAGGATTTTCCAACGAAAAATTTTAATAATCATTGGCTATTTTTGATAATTTCTCCTTTAATTTCATCCGATAGGATTAAAGTGGAGGTGTGTGAATTTGCTGACATAATAATTGTGAGTTCAATCTCCAGCTGAGGTAGTTCAAATTTAAATTCGTTGGAAACAAGCGGACAATAACTTAGAATTAATAAGAAAAACTAAACAAAAACAAAACAAAACAAAGCAAAGCAAAAAACAAAACAAAAAGAAACCAACAAAAACCAAGAAAACGACATATCACTCGACATGGACAGCAAACGGAGAAATATTTGCATTTATATATTAAATAAAATTTTATTCTTTGATTCGTTTTTTACGGTTTATCAACCCTTCGCAGGTTATTTAAAGACTGGAATATTTTTTGATTGTAAGATTTTTCTTTTTTGAGATAATGAGGATTTAGTGATACAAATCTTACTAATTGACCCATAGCTGGGAGAAAAGTTGTCGTTTCATGCCTTTCCTAAAGGGTATTTGCATGTAAGTGAATATAATGAACCTAACGGGAATTGGTAATCGGCTCTGCGATTAACAATTCCGAGCCATTACGCATTTACACAACCTGCACATCCAAGCTCTACTGAGGGTGTCAAGTTGAACTTTATGTTCCAGTAATTATTTTTTTTTAAATCTACCAATCTGCTAAACGTTCTCGCGACGCAATATAACTCAAAAATCACCCAGAAAATACCTTTTGCATATTAGATACTTATATCAAACAAACGTAAACACCCTCAAAAAATGTAACAATTCCGATCCATTATATTATTCACACATCCAAGCTTACAGAACCTGGCATTCTCAAGCGGTCACTCATCTAGGTACTGACCAGTCTAGACGTTGCTTAACTTCGGTGATCGTACGAGAACCGGTGTTTCAATATAATATGGCCTTAAGATATACAACTCGCATATCCAAGCGTACAGCACATGATATTCCCAAGCGGTCACCCATCTAGGTACTGACCAGGCTAGACGTTGCTTAACTTCGGTGATCGTACAGGAACCGGGGTGTTTCAATATGGCCTTAAGACATACAATTCGCATATCCAAGTTTACAACACATGATATTCCCAAGCGTTCACCTATCTAGGTGCTGACCAGGTTAGACGTTGCTTAACTTCGGTGATCGTACGAGAACCAGTGTTTCAATATAATATGGCCTTAAGACATACAACTCGTATATCCAAGCGTACAGCACATGACATTCTCAACCAGTCACCTATCTAGATACTGACCAGGCTTGACGTTGCTTAACTGCGCTGATCGTACAGGAACCGGGGTGTTTCAACGCTATATTGCCGTAAGTTAAAGAGTTCTGTTCAAATTTCCTCGAAAATTATTTTCATACACATACATTTGAAGAAGTCCGAAGGGTACAACGGTCGGAAAGGTTGCGATAACAACAAAAAATGAGGACATCTATCAGAGTGTAACGTTATTAAACGTTGGAATTAGCATTGTAATTGATACAAATAATATTTTTAATAAATAAAGTAGATTATATAAGCTTTAACGTTATTCTAAGGATATTTAGATATCGTTAATTGCAGTATCTCTAAGTAGCATTTAAAATAATCGCCTAAAACTACATTAATACTGCTAATTCCAACGTTTAATAATATATAAAGATATCTAGACACTGAAGTTGGAGAAAAGTCCATTATTAAAGATAGCAACTATGTATTCAGATTTATTTTTTTCAAGATAATGTCACTCTTAATACCCCCTCCTCATAATAAAAGTTTTATTTATAATCCATCTTGTTACACAACATTATTATTTTATTTATCAACTGTAGCATCACAAACAGAGTATCCACACTTCAAACCCAGCCACAATAGAAGCAGGTGCGATCATTCGTTCGAAGAGCATACGGATGAGTTTGAGGACTGAGGCGAGGTATGGAAATCTTATTTATACATGTTTACGTAAGTATGACTATCAGATTACTGCGCAGGGAACATCAGAAAGGCGCTCCACTTCTCAGTTCTTTCAACCCCGACACCCAATTGCTGCACGGTTAGGAAAGTTTTTTTTTGTTTTTTTGTTTTTTTACTGGTTAAGAAGAAAGTCAAGAACAAACAGAATGGAATCAAGAGGAAAACAGAAAGACAAGGGAAAGAAAGGTAATAAAAAAACGCATAGGTTTTAATATTTGCAAGCGTCTAATCAGAAAATACGTGACTGAGAAGTGCATAAGAGAAAATAGAAAAAAAACAACCATTAACGGATGGCATTGAAATGATTAAGCATTACTTAAATAATATGGAAGTCAAGCAGTGTATTCGATCTTCAATAACCGATCACATGAGACAGCTAGACACAACTATTTCCCTCGTAGGACTGAAGTGAGCATTAGAGGGAAATGAGAGGTCGTTATATAAAAAAAGAGGAGGATAAGGTGTATGATAAAATGGGTGAGAAGAGAGGAAAGAACAAAAGAGAGAAAAGGGGAAGGAAAGAAGGGGGAAAAGGGGAAAGGAAAGAAGGAGGGAAAGGGGAAAGGAAAGAAGGAGGGAAAGGGGAAAGGAAAGAAGGAGGGAAAGGGGAAAGGAAAGAAGAGAGAAAGGGGAAAGGAGAGAAAAGGGGGAAGAAAAAGAGAGCACAAAGGGAAGAAAAAGAAAAAAAAGTGACTAAAAGTGAAGAAAAAGAGTGAATAAGGGAAAAATTAAATGAAAATTTCAGATAAAACTGGGGAAAAAATGCAAGATGAAAGAAAAAAGAAGAGACAGAAAAAGAGAAAAATAGAAAGGAAAAGAAGAGAAAAAAAAAAGAAAAACAGAGTGACTGCGAGGTGGTGACGTTTTGCTGGGAAAACAGTCATGGATCTGCCAGGTCTTAGAAATAATCTGGCATGAGAGAAAAATGGCGCGACAAAATGTTTCACTCACACAGGATGAGTATCGCCGTTTTCATTATTCTGGCACTTCCTTGGGTTTAAAACCTAAATACTAAAGAAACAAAGAACCCGATAATTACATGACTTAACTAATATAGAATGATCATTAGCAGAGAGACTTAAGCAGAGAGACAATGGAGGAGAAGAAACTCTCTGTAGGCAAGACGTGATGGAAAAATAGAGAAAAGCCGAAACGCGAAGAACATTTAGAAAATCAAAATGCATAGATATATGAATATGTTTCTGCCTTAAAAAAAAAAAAATGAAAATCACAAGCGCGCATTACGAATCTCAGAAATACAATGTTAGCAGAAACATGAAGAGGTGGTGAAAGGTTCTCGGCCTAACCAAACAGGATATACAATAACAGGTAAAAATAAATTAAATCCGAGGTTTGATCTTTTAGTTGAATTTCTGAAAGTGGATCGAACCAAGAAATTTTGCAAAACGTCTTCGTATATTTCTGAATACTTAGAATGTTGAAGAATAGACAATTAAAGACAAAAGGAAAAAAAAATTGAAAGGCATCTTCGAAATCATTAAGAAAGGAAGGGAGAGTTTAAATTTGTCAAAAGACATCCTTTCTATTTTGTTCACATCTGGAGATTCCGCTCGAATTCAACATTACCCAGTGTCTAAGTCAGCAGCTTCTGATGCTGCTAATACCGACTTGCTTCTTCGACGGTGAAAAGAGATTCTCACATATCCTAAAGAGTTTTGTAGGTTTCTCGCCCCCACTTGCTAGTCCACCTATCCTTTAGCATCCATGTTCTTTCTCTATCTCTTGTGGAGGCAGTATTAATTTTTGTTTTATTTTCCTTTCGGCATGCGACAACAGCAGTCAGATTCTGAGGAATTAAAAAAAGGATTTCTTCGCCTGGGAAATGACTGAACACACACCCTTATATACACGATTATTTTACGAATTCTATATCCTACTCATGATATCACGGATAGGATGTACGAAACAAATGCGTGAAAACTTTTATTCAGTCTAAATAGCACTTCTACACATACACCCCTGTGTATGTGATCTTATTATTTAAAGAAAGCGAGAAGAAAGAACTAAACATCAACTGTAAGAAAATAGAATGTCTGGTTGTCAACAAAAGGGACAGCCCAACATGCGAATTACGAAATGGAGATGCCAAAATCAAGCAAGTATAAAAACTTATATATTTAGGGATTGTTTTAAAAGAAGACGGAAAATACGACACCGAAATCCACAGTTGCATTGGGACAGTAAAAGATGCTTTTCAAAAGCTAAGTGAATTATTAAGAAAAAGGAAAAAGTACTGAAATGTTATATAACATCGTTCCGCTTATATTGTAATGAATGCTAAACAATCTCGTCACAGATAAGAAGAGACTTCAGATAAAAGAAATTCGGTTCTACAGAAGGATACTGAGAATAAAATTCACTGAACATGTGAGCAACGATTAAATTTCAAAGAAAATAGAAACAAAAATTACACTTCTATTTAGTATGGGAAGAGACAACTGAAATTTCTAGGGCACATAATGAAGAAAGGCGGCTTGGAAAATTTGTCACTCATAGGACACATTAAAGGCAAGTGGAGCATAACCTATCTAAGGAGCTTGTGTAAATAGTTGGCAGAACAGGGATTAGAAAAGATAGCAAAAAGAGACACCCTTCACTAAGAGCTACAAAGGACAGGAAGTTGAGGAGAGCCATGATTGTCCAAGTCCATAAAGGAGACGTCGTCACACAAGAAAAGAATATTATTTATAGCGGAATAGTTTAATATAGAAGAAATAAACAATGTGTGTATATAGAAATCAACACTGAATGCAGAGTTTATTTTCATTTTCACGCTGTTCATTTTATATGTCGCTATAACCCGGAAGGCAAAATATCTAATAATAATCTGTTTTCAAAGTGCGAAAATGAAGTCAGAGAGGCGCGTGTAATGCAACCGCAATTTCAATGCGATGGTCATATGTACGCATGAATGATGACAGGACACCGAAAATCCTCATGTACAGCCAACTTCATGACGGTTATCGGATGTACAAGACTAAACTTAAGTGTAGCAAATTCCAATGACATCCCCGTGTCTTTCTTTGAGGAAGTGGTTCCAACAGTGTAAACTAGAGGAATGTGTGTATCAAAGGTTTTAAAGCATTCGTGAGGTCACGCATCTACATTTTACAAGTCAGATGACTAACATGTGACTTTATATATATATATATATATATATATATATATATATATATATATAATGAATACAGAATCCTTAAAAAATCCATTCAGTCAGGTGATACTTTATTTCGAGGACTTCAGACAAAATTTTCAATTTATTCAGACACAAGGAAAAGAAAAAAAAGTGGGGGAGAGAGAGAAAAAGGAAAAGTTTTAATATTAAAAAGGGAAAGAAAAAAGGGGGCGAAAGATTTCAATATAAGGTTATTTAGCGGAAAGAGAAAGAGTGATAGACATGGGAAAGGACAAGGGAAAAAGAGTGAAAGAGGGAAAGAAAGGAAAGAGGGAATTAAGCAAGTTGACAGGGTGACCCAGACATGATCTTTTCTTCCTAGACTTGACAAGTTAAAAAAAAAAACAGGGTGGGGGAAGGGAGTAATCATATTCAAAATAGGTACATAAAAATTGTCTAGTCATTTTAAGTAGCGAAACCATCACCATAGCATTATAACCATAAAATCTTTTTCTGGGTCACCTTGTCGACTTGCTTCATTCCTTTCTTTCCCTCTCTCACTTTCTTTCCCTTTCCCCTCCCCATATCAATCACTCTTTCTCTTCCCCCTAAAAAAATCTTATATTGAAATTTGTTTTTCTCTCATATTTTTTCCCTTTTAATATTAAAACTGTTTCTTTTTCTTTTTTCTCTCTTCCTTTTTTCTTTTTCTTTTGTATCTGAATAAATTGAAATACGAAATAAATTATCACCTGAGCGAATGGATTTTAAGGATTTTCTATTCATTATTATATTGTTCTTTTCTTACATTGAGCTCTCCTTGGAATTTTTACACATACAAAAATTTTAGCATATGCTGTCTTTACAACAAACAGCATTAACTACCTTTACAGGACTGAATGTTTTACGACAGGAATCGAACCTGTATTCTATACGAAACTGTCATATTGCCTCGTGTGCTATGCCATTTAGCTACAGAGGAAGCGTCTGGTTAGCAAAGTCAAATTACAAACCATACATACACACACACACATATATATATATATATATATATATATATATATATATATATATATAGCGTGATA